GACCGGCCCGCCGCACCTTCGAACGCCTCCCGACGGTCCACCCGACAGACCCGCCATGCTACCGCCCCACTCCGACGGGCGACAGCGGGCGCAGCCTGTTCCTTGGGCCGGCGGTTTCCCACCACGACCTACTCCGTGAACCGACGCGCCTCCGCAGGCCTCCCCTCGACCCGCCCTTTTCGCCTTACCCAGGGCCTCCGCGAACCGCCACAACCAATTCCCGCGCGCCGCGCTTTCGCACTACCGTTTTTCCCTTGCCCAGGGCCTCCGCGAACCGCCACGGCCAAATCCCTTGCGCCGCGGTCTCTGTCCGCCCTGCGGTGCCGCCGCGAAACGCCGCGCCTTTATTTCGTCGCCCATGTCCCGCGGCCCTCCAGTCTGACTTTTGCTGGGCCCGGCGGGACGCGTCACGTTGGGCCCTTTCCTTGCTTTAGGAGTATAGAGAAAGAACCGAGGACAGGGACCCGCTGGCGCCCTCTTGGTCCTGCCAGTAAAACGCAGGTCCAGACCCGTCTGGCAAAACCAAGGGGGATAGTCCCTTAAGATCGAAGCCAGCTTTCCGGCTTGGTTAAAGACTAGAGTCATAAATAAAAATTAAAAGAACCGAGGAGGACGGGGTCCCCTCCCTCTCACGTTCTCATGAAGTGCTGCGCCCGTTCGCTTCGATGAACAGGCTGCAGCTGGGGGGGGAATAAAGTATGACAGTGTACTTTTTCATGTTCTAGCCAAGATTCATTCTCACTTTGCACATATGTTGAGAATGGAGCGATGCCCGTTTTTAGGGCGTCGGCTCGCTCTTAGAGAGTTTGTTTTTTATTTGATTTATTATTATTATTTTTATTTTGTTGTTGTTGTTGTTGTTGTTTCTCTTAGTTGCCCCCCTCCTTGTGTGTGTACTATAGAAGTTGCGCCTGTTCGTTTCGAAAACGGGCAGCAACTTCTTAAAGGAGGAGTTGGGCGCCTGAATCTGGTGCTCGAATTGCACCAGATGCAGGCGCGCGGGGGTGGGGAGAGAAAAAAGGCTCTATTGAGCTTGACTCTAGTCCGACTCTTAGAAAAGACTGGACGTGGGGGTGGCTGATCGTTTCAACGAGCTGCCCCACCCAAAAAAAGAAAGGAAGAAAGAAAGAAAGGAAAAAAAACGTAACGGCAGCGTATGTGGCCACAACCGTGGAACAGGTGCAGCCCTAGAAGAATCTAGAGGGTGATGGGACTGCGCGTGTTCGTTTTGAGCAGACAACAGTAAGTGGTTGGGTACAACCATTTACAGGAGTATCCGGCCTGGGAAAACAGCCAGATACTTCTGGGGGTTGATGACCTTGGTTCCCCTAGGGGAAAACCAAGGCACCGGGCTGCTGGCCGTTGATCTAGATTGAGGGTCAGGAGCACTGACGAAATTTTGCTTGGCTGTGGGCAAGGCAGCTGCCCACATGCCTTCGACTAGCTATAAAAGCCAGCTTGCCACCCATCAGCCTCACACTTGTGGCAATGTTGCTGGGGCATTCTACTTGAGTAGATGCTGGCTGGCCGGTTGCTGGTGTGGTGAGGCGAAGTGTTGGAGGTCTGCAGGAGCACTTGGAGGAGGAGAGAGGCAGCCATAGCTAAAGGTTGGGAGCTTCTTGCCCCACGTTTGTGTTTATGCTGAAGGCTTTTGTGGGAGCTATAGCTGTGAGGCTGCGGCAGGGTTGGACCGTGCGGCAAGAGGCCCACGACGGGGAGGTGCTGCCCGACGGCCTGCATGGTGTTATTAGAGTAGGAAGGCTGCGCCGTAGAGTTTTTGGAGGGAGGTGCTGTGCAATTTTTTGTGCGGCGCGACATGATATTTTCGGCAGCGTTTTAAGGGGCGGTGCTGTCGAAATTGCGTGGCGAGGCTGGTGGGTTTGCTGACGGGTTGTGAATCTGCGGCAGTGGTTTTTTTTTGGTGGCATGGTACTCGGCGGTGTGGCTGCTAGGGTGGTGGCACCACGACATTTACACTAGGGGTGTGCTGTTAGTTTGGGCAAGCGCTGCGATCCAAGTTTTTTTGGAGGATCATCTGGTGGTGCGACGACGACGTGGAGATACTTGGGACCCGTATTGGGACAGAGAGAGTTGGGAGTTGAGACCAGGGCAAGTGTAGCGAATGTTGGTGATCAGAGGTGATGATTGAAGAAAGTTGGTGATTAAGGTGGACCTATTCTTGGTGGGCGAGGTGCCGCTGAGATTATAGTGGGACCACGTGAGACTTGTAAGTGAGAGCACCCTTCTTGAGGGGTATCTCGCTTTAGTGAGTGGCGCCTGTCAGGGTTGTCGACCCCCGAGCCCAGGGCCCCGGCGGGGTTCCCGGGGGTCGGGGGTCGGCACCCCCGACCCCGACTTTCAAAAAAAAAAAAAAAAAAAAAAAAAAAAAAAAAA